GTCTCAGTTCTTTGGTTCTTGGCTGCTAAACTTACTTTTAAATATCCCACGATTCCACAAACTTTTTTTAGACACGAATTAGTGTCATAAAAACTGAGAATCTAAGTCTTTTCCTTTTTGGCTCTTCTGATGTTAGAACAAATTAGTCATTTTCCTTTTCCTGATGACTTGTACACCGGCCATTCTCCTAAATGCTGTGCAACTGTCTGTCCACCCACCTATTAAATAAATATATTAGACATCGGGCTAGCTTTCAGGGCCCAGAGATGTCAGACTTGGTCTTTACGCTTAAAGAACTCCTGGTGAATGAGGGGTCAGGCAAACTAGCAGTGAGAAGACATGCTAGGTGTCTTGAGAAAGGTATTCAGGGTGTTATGGGTGCAGGTAGGGAATACAGATGATTCCATGATCAAACTCAGACAAATATTTATTTTTGGATAAGAGCATTTGATATTTCAAAGTGAGATGAGGTTTCAGTTTAACTAGCAATAAATCCAAATCTATCCTATAAATATATGTCGATCTAATTCCATTTACTGGAATTTCAGTGTCTGGGTGGAAGCTTGCTGCTGTATTGAAATCCCCTCTCTTAATGCTGATCCCATCGCAGTATTTTGCCATTAAATGTATTTTATTTTATTTTTGCTTTGGAATCTCACTCTGTCGCCCAGGCTGTAGTGCAGTGGTACATTCATGGCCACCCCAGCGTCGACCTCCTGGGCTCCGGCGATCCTTCCACCTCAGTCCTCCAAGTAGCCGGAACTACAGGCGTGTACTACCACGTCTGGCTAATTTTTGATTTATTGTAGAGACGAGGGTCTCGCCAAGTTGCTGGGTTGGTCTCGAACCTGTGGGCTTCGGCAATCCAGTCGCCTTGGCCTCCCAAAGTGCTAGGATTACAGGCTGAGTCACTGAGTCTGGCCTAAATTTACTTATTTTTAGAAGAACAAACCCTTAAAGTATGTTATATTTTTAAAAAACCAACGATATGGAAAGAGGGGTTACATAAAAGCAAAGTTTTACTGGTTTCATAAACAGGGGCACTGAAGAGGGAAAACATTGTCATACCTGTAGTGTCTATTTTATTGCAAATGCCGGAATCTAAGTTATCCTTAATAAAGTCTTGACTTTTCTTTCAAAGACTGCGGGTGAATAAAATATATGCACAGAGGTAGTTTTGGTAGGCAATACTTCTTGGCTTTTATTTTGAGGTTTGGAGGAGTCTTAAAATGATAGGGTACTGGTTGGCTCAGATTGAGCTCTCAGAAAATTAGGCTGATTGTGAGCACGGAAATGGTAATAATAACTAAAATTTATATTCTGTGGGAGACGTTTATTTTGTTTACTATGGAAGCACAGCAATTTACCTTGTGAGTAGATGGGAGATTTTTTTTTTTTTTTTGAGTTGGAGTCTCACTCTGTCACCCAGATTGGAGTGCAGTGGCTGCTCCCGGCCACTGCAGCCTCGACCTGCTGGGCTCTAGCAATCCTTCCGTCTCAGCTTTCCAAGTAGCTGGAACTACAGGCACGCGCTACCATGCCCGGCTAATTTTTTTGATTTATTGTGGAGATGAGGTCTCGCCAAGAACCCGTGGGCTCAGGAAATCCACTCACCTCAGCCTCCCAAAGCACGGGATTACAGGCTGAGTCACTGAGCCCAGCTGACAGAAGATATTTTAAAGCATATAAAATAGAAACACTTTGCTTGGTTCATTAGATGTTAACAATACACCCTTAAAAAGAAAAACTAAATTTGTAATGATTGCATTTAACATTGTGAAATTTAGATATTCATACTGTAAGGGCAGTATATTTGTAGAAGATTTTTCTTTGAAAGTGATTAGATACCACCTAGCTCCAGTCAGGACGGCCATCATCAATAACTCAAAAAGCAACAGATGCTGGAGAGGATGTGGGGAAAAGGGAACACATCTATACTGTGGGCGGGAGTGTAAACTAATACAGCCTCTGTGGAAAACAGTGTGACAATTCCTAAAAGATCTAAAAACTGACCTTCCATATGACCTCACAATCCCCATACTGGGAATATATCCGGAATAACTCAAATTACTCTATGAAAAAGATACCTGCACACATATGTTTACTGCAGCATTGTTCACAATAGCAAAAACATGGAACCATCTGTGCTGCCCATGAAAAGGGAACTGGACTAAAAAAATGTATATATACATGATGAAATATTATGCAGCCATAAAGAAGGACAAAATCATGAACTTCACAGCAACCTGGATGGACTTAGGGTCTATAATACTGAGTGATCCCAGAAACAAAAAACTGAGTATCACATGTTCTTACTCATAAACAGACCTTGAACAATTATTGTAATACTTTAAGAAAAGGATTGGCAGTAGTGGGAAACTGCTGGGAGTGGAGAGTACACCTCATCAACAAGGATATCTGCATAATGAACATTTATAACCCTAAATTGTTCCCCATATCTTTAAAATAAAAAATTAAAAAAAGAAAGTGATTAGGAATAGCTAAAATGTTCATCATGGATCAATAATAAAACTCAAAGGAAAATGAGATGATTTAATTCCCTCTTAAGGCTTTTCTGATCACAAATCTATAGATGGGAAAAAAATAAGTAGGGATATCTATAAATGTACTTGTTATTGTGCAAGTCTAGCCATATGAACAATACAGGTGTTGATAATTTTCTCTGGGGGTGTAAAGGGTTGAAGAAAGGTGTGCGTAGTAGCACACTAGTGGTAAACACGACATTTAAGTAAAAGGTTGAATTTTTTTTCTTTGACGCGGAATCTCACTCCATTGCCCAGGCTGGAGTGCAGTGGCACGATTACTGCCACCCCACCATCAACCTGCTGGGCTCTGGCGATCTTTCTGCCTCAGCCTTCCAAGTAGCCTGAACTACAGGTGTGTGCTACCACGCCCAGCTAGTTTTTGATTTAGTGTAGAGACAAGGTCTTGCCACGTTGCCCAGGCTGGTCTCGAACCTGCGGGCTCAGGTCATCCACTTGCCTCAGCCTCCCAAGGTGCTGGGATGACAGGTTGAGCCACTGAGCCCGGCCAAAAGTTAAACTTTTTAATAATGGGAGCAGATTGCCAATTGTTGCCTGGAAAATAGCTTTTCAGTAGAGCAGTGATGAGTTCTCAGTCTCTTTTCCCTTTTCTCTCCCTTCCTTCATGGTGCCATGTCCAGAGTACTTCATTTTAGTTTCTGTGATTAAAATGAGTCCAATGTGAAAACGCAAAAACAATTCTATGCCATTCCTTGATATAACTGAGTTGGAAACCACTAACATGGGCTTTTTGCGGGTGTGCTGCTGCCTGCTGACTAGAGGCACCCCAGCTGGGTTGGGAGGATCATCTGGGAGTGAACACAATTGATAAACTACTTATTTCGTTTGACAGCTTTAACACCTGCCGTTTGCCCAGCTGTAAAGAGAATAACGTGTTTCATTTATTACCATGCGTGCAAAATGGAAACGCTTCCAAGTATCGATTTATCATTTGCTCGATTCATTCATCATGGGGCATAAAGTTTATTTAGTCATTCATTTATATACTGAGTCATTCATTCAGTCAGTGTTTACTGAATGCATACTATAGGCCAGGTGGGATAGGGTGAGGGACTAGGATGCAGCAGTGAACGAGATTGGAAAGGCCCTGAGCTTGACAGATGAGACAGACAATAAACAAACTCACCAACAGACATGCCGATTCCAGACAGCAGGAAGTCATGGGAAAGGCACTCCCAGGGTGATATGCACCCGTGCAGGGAAGAGGAAGGAGGAGAGAGGGTGCTGGGGTGTGTTTTAGGTATAAGATGATGAGGGAAAGTCTCTCTCTCTTTCTCTGTCTTTCCTGTTCTTTCTTTCCTTTCTTGCTTTCTTTTCTGTTTGTCCTCCCTCCCTGTCTTTCTTTCTCTCTCTCCCTTTGTCTGTCTTTCCTGTTCTTTCTGTCTTTTTTCTTTCTTTCCTTTCCTTTTCCCCTTTTCTTCCTGCCTTTCTTCCTGTCTGTCGGTCCTCACTTCCTCCTGCTTCCCTCCTTCTCTCCCTTCCCCTCTCTCCCTCTCTCTCCCTCCCTCTCTCATTTCTCTCTTTCTTTCTCTCTCTGTCTTTCTAAGTTTTCACTCTGTTGTCCAGGCTGGAGTGCAATGGCATGATCACAGCTCACCGCAGCCTTGAACTCCTGGGATCAAGTGTTCCTCCTGCCTCAGCCTCCCAAGTGGCTGGGACTGCAGGCCTGCAACACCATGCCTAGTTACTTAAAAAAAATTTTTTTATAGAGATGAAGTCTCGTTTTGTTGCCCAGACTGGTCTTGAACTTCTGACCTCAGCTTCCCAAAGTGCTGGGATTGCAGGCATGAGCCACCACGCCTGGCCCAGAGAAAGCCTTTCTAAGAATGTAATAATTGAAGTGAAAACTGAAAGGATAAGTGAGTGAGATTTAAAATGTGAATATGGTTTCACATGGCCAGTGGTATTTAGTGGACTCAGAACCGAGGTGGTTTTGCTTTGTGTGATGTCACTTGCACGCAACGGTGATATTCTGGCTGACCCAGGAACCAACCATTTAGGAAAGACACTGGCCTGGCCATAGAACAGAGCCTTGGAGGTCAGTCTTAAGCACTTAAGAACTGTATTGTGGCAGACCTCAGGGAAGGGCGTGGGTGGCAGCTGGGTGGCACTCAGAGAGCTTGGGAACACAGCTGTTTCCCGAATTTGGTATAAAAGTACTCCAGTGCTTACACAAGTGGTGTGGCATGTGTAAACACATCAGCTATGCTTGTGTGTAATTTTATGACCCGAGGCATATTGATTAACCAATTGCAGTTGTAGACCATTTAAAAAATTCTGGCCACTTCACATAGTTGAGTTGAAAAAAGGAAGGATTAAATTCTGGTGTTCAGTGTCATCAGTCATAAGATTTCATAGTCTGGGTCACATTTGGAGGAGGTAGCCTTATGGAACTACGTGCGTTCTTCCCAACCTAACTCCATGTGTCTTTTGTAGGCGGCACCACTGTCCACATCTCCCTACCAAGATTTATGATAAAACAGAGAAACCATGTCTTCTCTCCGAATACACCGAGAACTACCCAGTCTATCACTCTTACCTGCCCAGAGAGTCCTTCAAGCCCAGACTGGTGTACCAGAAAGGGTCCATACCAATGGAAGGCCTGACCACATCAAGGTGAGGGCAGACAGTGTCATGTATGCAGGTACAACACGAAAGTATTAGCGTACATTTCTAATTGATAATATGACTATAATGATGAACCGTATTAACGCATTAACGTTCAGTATCAACATATGGTATCCATGCCTTATTATTAATGTACTATGCCTCTGAAAGAAAATCTTGCACTTATTAGCCTGCTCAGTTTTTCCCAAATTCCCTCTTAAAGAGAAAGGATTCTTGCTTCCTTGGGGTGAAAGGTTGGGAAAGGCTAAATTGATCTACATAGTAAGGGTTGGAGGTTAAAGAAAATGATAAAAGGATGGAAAGAAAGGGTCTGTTGCTGAAAAAGGGGTTTGAGCGTTGTCACATGAGAGACTCCAGCTCACCTTGGGTGGTGGTGGTGTGTGATGATAATAGAGGGGAAAAAATAGATTTTTTTTGGAAATTATGCTGTAAATTTTGAATTGGGATTCTCTTGAATATTCTCCAAGAATTATGTGCAAAGAATATATTTCCTTTTTATTTATTTATTTTGATTTTAAAGATGTGGGATGCAATTCAGGATTAGATATACAAGTGATCATCGTACAGGTAAAGTTTGGGCCTCCCTTTGGTCCCCACTTCGCCTGGTTTGAGATCAGGTGCCTTATTGATGTTATGTGGCCGCCCCCCCAGCAGTGTCCCTCTACTGCCAATCCCTTTCTTATAGTTATATTTAAATTACTCTTGACTTCCAAACTAAGCTTGTTTAGATCTAGGTCTGTGCAAAGGCTGAGCCACGAGGCTCAGGGGATTAGTGGTGCAGAGGTGTCTCTGTATGGAGGGGGTGGGGAAAAAGTCTGTCTCAGGTTTGTTATACGTGTTGTAAGGCTCTAGCAGAAGCCACCATTGACAAGTTGGGATTGGTGACCTCTAGGCGGTGACCTGTGTCTGGTGATCCAGTAGAGTGGAAGCATCCTTGAGTGCCATCGGGCAGGGTCTCAGAGTGTATAGTTTTATCCCTGGGTGAGACCTGAAAGATTGGTGTGTTCCCTGCCTTCTCCATTTTCTTATCCCTAAAAGGCAGGATCACTGTGAGGTAGCGATGATGGTGTACATCGATTGTTCCAGCACAGTGCTTGCACATTGCAGGTGCCCAACACCTGTGACTTTTCTTCCTATTGCCTCTCCTTTGCCTCATAATTCTGTGCTAGTAAAGGTCCCAGATGACCCGGGGAAGGTACAGCAAGTCTAGTTCATTCTGCCTCCAGGTTTTCCCCAGAACAGGACTGGAAGCACTCTCTGTTGAGATTGTGAGTTGGAGGTGCTTCTGTCTACTAACAGTTGCAATCTTCTAGATCCCCAGAAAGTGTGTGTCTGGATTATAGGGCAGGACTACAAGCAAGGGAAGAAACAAAGCCAACGAATTCTTGACTTTGGTGGAAGCCATTAGATAGGGGCAACTTGAGAATGAAAGGGTGTCAAGGGCCTTGTCTGATGCTTGACTTAAATGAGATCACATTTATTCTAAGCATTTATCTTAAAAGATTTAGCACAGTGTTTCTGGGTCCCGATGTATTAACAAATTTAATTTATGTGCCCTTTTTTTCAATCTATGACTCATTAAACCATATGAATCCTAAAGTTCGGGCTTCATTTTGCCAGGAAAACAGCATCCTCAGTCTCTGAGAGTCTGAAGACCACAGTGAGATGTGGACCATTCCTGGGCATTGATTTCCTTTCAAGAAACCCTGGTCGACACCAAGGAAGAGTCCTAGGCACTTGTGTAAGAGACATGTCATAGGTAGAAAGAGATAAGCATAGTCTCAAGGGACGGCTTGCAAACATCACGGGCAGCCTCCAGCTCTCTTTATACCTTATTCACAGGAAACCAAGAGCACCTTGTGAGATGAAAAGTATCATGAGCTTCAGATATTGCTATGTTCCCTGTCCTGGAAGTATAGAAAAGGATGCTGTGAGGGTTGGATGCTGGAGGATGCTCTTTGGTAGCTGCCCACTAAGCTTAGGAGAGTGAGGACAAACCCTAGGTCTGGGGCAGGAGCCCTGCCCCCTCACCCAGCTCTGAAGCTTCTAGATGTCACTCCAGATACCCTCCCTCCTGCAAAACAAAAACTCACCCTCTGACCTGTCCTAAATTATTCTTGCTTTGTGTCGCTTATCACAACAAACATATCACCCAGAAGGCCTCTATGCCCATCAGAGCCAGAGTATCAATAAATATCACTTACATCAAGATGTGGCTACAGTGGAAGAATGCATATTCAGAAAGCATTTCCAGAAGAAGTCGCTAATGAGCCTAAGGGCTTTTAAAAAAAGTGGCAGGGCCACTGTTACCCATGGAGAGAAAAAGAGCAGGCATAGATCTCTTTTCTCCTTTGTTTCCTATCCCAAAAAAGAGAAGTAAGGAGGAATTGAGCAGAAGGCATCCATCAATTCTTTCCCTCGTACTACCTCAGTTTCATCATTTCTCAACCCTGTGCCTGCCATGCTTGGCACTAGTGTTTGCAGACCAAGAACACAGATATGCTGTTATCAGGAAAAGTAGAGAAGCTTCTAGGGGAAGGAATAGGTCAGCCCAGTGTCTGCACACCCCTGAGTCTGCACGGATTGTCACCCTCTGCTCTTAGGATTCTTATTACTGGAGCATCCCACCTATTTTTTTTTTGCATCAGAATCTCACTCTGTCACCCAGGCTGGAGTGCAGTGGCATGTTCACAGCCACCTTAGCCTCGACCTGCTGGGCTCAGGTGATCCACTTCAGCTTTCCAAGTAGCTAGAACTACAGGTGTGCGCTACTATGCCCGGGGAATTTTTTGATTGGTTGTAGAGATGAAGTCTCGCCAAGTTGCCCAGGCTGGTCTCAAACCCTTGGGCTCAGGCAGTTCTCTTGCCTCAGTCTCCCAAAGTGCTGTGACTACAGGCTTGAGCCACCGTGTCCGGCCAACTTTTTTATCCAAACGCTGACCCTACTTCGTTTCTGAGGTTGGACAGGGGACTCCCACCTGCTGAATGAAAAAGTCATGTGGCCCAGGGCTTGGCTGGGTCTGGTGATTAAGCCCAGACACAAAAAACACCTGGTTTCTGGAAAGGTTATCATCCCAGCGTGAGGCATGATTACAGCTGCACACAACTCTTACTGACCATAAATCTCAGGGATTTACAGCAGGTGCCATGAGGGGAATGCTTGCGATTTCCAGCCCTTTTTAGTGTGAAACTGTTTCTTGTAGCCCCTGGTAATTCTTTGGCATAAGATCTGCCTTGAGTTCAGATAGACCTGAGATCAATTTATGAATAAGAGGTTTGCACTTCAAGCCTCATTTCCTCTTAGGCACGTCATCATCGAAAACACTTGGGCCCCAATTTGGGACGTTCAGTTAGCTAAACTGGCTCCCTAAAGATGGGCAAAGTAAATCTCCTCAGGCGGTAAAGATGAGTCTTCAATGGGGCTAGACCTTTATCCTGAAGGGAGTAGGGCCATGGGTAACGTGGAATGGAGGCACGGCTGGGGGGGTGGGGGGGATAGGGAGACAGAATTGGGTTCAAACTTGATGGATGCGGCTAAAAGGCAGAGGGCAGGGAGCTGGTAGCATAGACTAATTCATTGACAAGACTCCTTGGTAAACTGAGGAAGGGAAGGGAGGGAAGAGACAAAAGCAAACGGACATTTGGCACCCTCTCCAAAAGCCAGGAAGGAAGCAAGAAAGTTGGTAGCAGACTTGAGTCTCACCCTACCCATCGGGTTTTACCCATTTTTTTGTTGTTGTTGTTGTTCAAATACGTATGTCTATGCTAAGAGCTGTACCACTGGGGTGTACCAATTGCCCTCCATAGCCTGGGCCTGAGAATGGATGTGAAGACACACAGACCAAGTTCTCAGCACTGGACTTTCCTGGGCAGTTTCAGAGCCTTTGGATTGTCTTTGTGTAGACATTGCATCTTTGAATAGACCTGTAGACATTTTGGTCATTGTCTTTTCAGTCTTTGATGTTCCGTTCATATATTGTCCCCAGTCTTTTTTGTTCCCTCTCCGTGTGTCAGATTAGATAGTTTCTATTAATCTCACTTCAAGTTCATTGAGTTTTTGCTCCCTTACCTCCACTGTGCTATTAAGCCCATTCAGTGAATGTTTTATTTCATGTATTGGATTCTGCAGTTTTAGAATTTACGTTTTGTTCTTTTTATTTAGCTTCTATTTTGTGCCTGTGATTTCCTATCTTTTAATTATGACCTTATTTTGCTTTTCCTCATGGAGCATGGTTAAACTAGCAGCTTAAAATCCTTGTCTGCTAATTTCATTTTTTTTTTTTGAGTTGGAATCTCACTGTCACTCAGGCTGGAGTGCAGTGGCACGCTCATGGCCACTGCAGCCTTGACCTCCTGGGCTCAGGCGATCCTTCTGCCTCAACCTTCCAAGTACCTGGAACCACAGGTGCGTGCCACCACAGCCAGCCAATTTTTAAAATTTATTGTAGAGACAAGGTCTTGGCAAGTTGCCCAGGCTGGTTTAGAACCCCTGGTCTCAGGCAATTCTCCCACCTCTGCCTTCCAAAGTACAGGATTTCAGGCGCGAGCCACTGTGCCTGGCTGCTAATTTCAATATCTGGATCAGCTTGGGATGGGTCTCCATAATTGTCCTTTTTTTTTGAGTGTAGGTCAGATTTTCCTATGCATATCAAATGATTTTGGATTGATTCTGTACATTGAGAATGTTGTTTATTATATTGTGGGCACTCTAGATTTTTTTTTTAACACTCCTCCGAAGAGCTGTTTTTTGTTTGTTTTGTAGGCAGGTAACTTGATTGGACTCAAAGTGCAAACTCTGTGTCTTGGGTGGCAACTCAAATCCCAGTTCAGTTCCTTATCTTTTGCTTGAAGTCTGCCTCATATACATGAGGTCAAGCAGATTGGGCCCAGGTTATATACAGAATTTGGGGCTTCCTGTCTTTGGTTCTCTCCTTTCCAGGATTCTTTTCTCATTTTCCAGTCCCTGTGGTTGCCTCAGACACAGACCT